GAGGGTACGGAAGGAAGCATGTTTCCCTTCACCGAAGAGTTTCCAGACATCTGCGTAGCCGAGGGCCGTGAAGGAAGCGACCTTGAGTTCCAGGAGATGATTTTGAGACGGGTTGAGATCTACGGCGTGGACGCGGCGCGGGTTCTCTAGACAGAAGGACAAGATGTTATCACCTGCGGAACCAATTGCGAGCACCACATCATCCGGCGTTACTTTGAGGAGACGAGCGTCAGCGCGATCATCCTCCCAGGTAAATGCATAGATGTAAGAGTTGTTGAAGCGGGTATGTTTAGGCAAGGCTTCGTCGTAATGAATACGCCAATGGTGGTTTTGGTACCTAGTCGAAGTTAGGGGGTGCAAAACAGGGCGAGAGCATTAGAAATATATCATACCAGGTCGATGGTAAGGGCAGGCTGGATTGAAGATTGACAATCGCAGACTCGTACGCTTTGGACCGAACTTCAACATCCGCCTGTATAGGACCTGTTTGGAGGTCCAATGCAGACAAGTATGGTGATTCAGTAGCCGCGGCATCAATCTCGGCCAGTTTTGCGGTTGAGCTTTCACTGCCTTTTGCGCATCCGACCCAGATGTAATATGGGAGTCGAACACCGAAGAAGTTGTTGCGAGCATTCACGCTGAGAACGGTACCCAACCGATACTCAAGGTAGTCCTGCCGTTCACGTCAGAGTTTGATTTGATAATTCAGTTTAATATTGCTCACTCTTCGGGCAGCTTCGAGATTTACTCGGTCAATTTCAAACCATGTTCTCCAGAATACCCTAGAAATCCACATGCAATGCCTGTTGACAGCACCTCCTGTGTAGTTCCTGGCACTGAACTCGACCTGACTCTGGACATAGAAATCTACCACACCCACAATACCGTTGGGCGAGAGCAGGGAAGATATCGAGTCAATGACTGGGTAAAATTCAGGGATCATCGAGAGGGCATACGACATGGTAACGAGCTCAGCACCACCAGCGTCAGCGTCTTCGTCGAGATCACGAACCGTCTGACCTTGTAGTATGATTTGTTTCTTGGCGTGGGCTTCTGGTTCGTGCTCGTGTAAACGGAATGCTCGAGCATCCTGGCAGATCACTTTGACGTTCTTCCACCCAAGACGTTCGAAACGCTTGCGTGCCATGTCGCAGAGGCTGGGTGAGAGGTCTACCACGTATACTGCCCGAAAGAAATTCGGCACGGAAAGGAACGCATTCATTTGCTCAACGCTAGTCGAAATTAGTTGAGGGCAGTCACGATTACAGGGTTATGAATTTACTTGTGGCCAGTACCACCACCAATCTGTGTATGATCATCAGCTAGGTTTTCTCTGGGAAAGAAGAGGACCACTTACATCCACCCATACAGGTCTCTGGGAGATGGAATTAGCTTCACAACGGTGCTTCAACTGGGCAGCCACAAGGCCCAGCATATCCTCACGCCCTCTAAGAAGCCTGGTTCGCGTGGCATCATACACATCCGCTTGTGCTTTGTAAAAACTTTCCTAGTCGAGATTAATCACTTATGTAGTTGCCATGTTGAATTTAGGTGTGAAATACCAGAGCATCCTGCTGACTTCCTGAGCCATCTCCAGTGTGAGGTTTGACGAAGCAAGCATAGAAGAATTTCAGGTAAGCGTGGAATGTGCTCGGCTCGCCTTTTTGTGGTTTCGAGGCGAAGGCGAAGATAGAGAATAGAAAGATGGCGACGACACATAGGGACAGGACCACCAGGTTGAAGGGGTCCCGAGGGATCAATGTTGAAAGGCCGAGCATGGCTGCGGCTCAGAGAGGGGCGTACAAAACACAGAAGAGGAGGGATATCCAGAAGAGGGGCGCCAAAGGGATGAAGAAGACATGTTGAGTGGGCTTAAATGTGAAAAGCGACGCGTTCCGACGAGTATTCCGAGGTCGGGTCTGCCACGTACGCCAATAAACAAAGACACATGATGGGCAGAGGGACCATCTGAGCCAATCAAGCCAAACACATGGTGAGCAAACATGAAAACGGCTATAGTTGCATCACGCTGGGAGGTGAAGTTTGCGTACGTTTTGCATTCGCTAGTAGCGGCTATGCAGGGCACACATGAACCGAGACCCCTTCTCCAGAAGTCAATCATATGTGGGGGAGGCAGAGGGAGCCCGTGAGCCTATCAGGACAAAACGAGCATCCTCGTGGTGACGAGGCTTGGTGTTGAGCTTTACATGTTCCCCAGCCTTGCAGAGGCCTGTCGTTGTTCGTCGTTGGAGTGGCAGGCCAATCAGAGCCGTCAGGGGATAGGCGTGCAACAACCACACATCCAGAAGACTTGCATGCAGGGTCCTTGACATCAGATAAGGCCCGGTTTGCTTCCTCAGAGCCTCTACCTACCCCTCACCCATTAATTCTCGCCAGTGCTGATCAGTCCCAGGCCCATGTCCTGTCGGCCAATGTCGGTCCACCTGCTTGTTAGTTTGGCCTTTTGCTTGCTCGACCTTCATCTATCGCTAATCAAACCTGCCTCTACTGACCCGGCCTGGCTTTTTGAATGGGACAAGTGTCAATTGATTACAACCTGAAGAAACAGATACTTGCGTGGGGGACATGTCATTGATTTTGAGGTATTCGGGACTAGGTTTCATGATACCTCCTTCTATTTATTGTTACAGGCGCACTATCCTGCGGTAGAGGTAACAGCGCACACATGCAAAACTCCCTCTCTTGTCTGGTCGAACCCTTCGCTCCGCATTACGCGTAGAAGTTGACTGTGTCCTTCTTCTTGGCCTACGAGCTTGTTAGAAATGTTAAATGTGGACTGCATATGGGGTCAGCTTACCTGAACTTCTGCAATCGCGTCGACGTAATGCTCGTGACTGATCTTCTGCTGCCCAGACCGAAGAGCAATCATACCCGCTTCCACGCACACGGCCTTGAGCTGTGCGCCACCAAACTCGTCAGTGCTACGTGCCAGCTCGGGCCAGTTAACCCCGTCATCAACCGTCATCTTCCGAGAGTGGATGCGGAGAATTTGTGCTCGAGCCTCCTCGTTTGGCAGAGGGAACTCAATCTTCCTGTCCAGTCGACCCGAACGAAGCAATGCAGGGTCCAGTACATCCACGCGGTTCGTTGCGGCCAGCACCTTGACGCGATCGTCGGATGCGAAACCGTCGAGCTGATTGAGAAGCTCCAACATGGTTCGCTGCACCTCTCGATCACCAGACTTTTCAGAGTCAAAACGCTTGGTTCCTACAGCATCTAACTCGTCGATGAAAATAATCGAAGGGGCCTTTTCTTTTGCCAAAGCAAAGCAGTCCCGCACAAGCTTCGCTCCATCTCCGATGAACATCTGCACAAGTTGTGGGCCGGCTAACTTGAGGAAAGTAGCATCCGTTTGAGCAGCGCATGCTCGGGCTAGCAGTGTCTTTCCGGTTCCTGGAGGACCGTACATCAGGGCACCTGGAGATGTAAAGTCAGCAGTAGCCCATGTACAGAATACAGTTTATACATACCCTTGGGGGCTTTTATGCCGATCTTTTTGAAGCGCTCAGCCTCCTTCATTGGCCAAACAACAGCCTCCACCAGCTCCTCAATCTGCTTATCCAATCCACCAACATCCGTGTACTGCTCCGTGGGCTTCTCGTCAACCTCCATCGCCTTCACTCTGCTATCGTACTCCGCAGGTAATGTGTCGAGGACTAAATATGAATCCTTATTGACTCCGATGAGATCGCCAGGCTTCAGCTTTTCGTGGTCAACAAGGCCGATCAGCGGAAGGAAGATGGTTTGCCGCGTTGACGTCTTGATGACTGCTGACTTTCCTACGCGGGTAGCATCCAAGTCGATGTTGGCACCCTCCTCCGCAGCCTCTGCCGTGACATCGAGATCTAGTATTTCCACAACGTTGCCCACGAGATATGGGAGTTGCCTGCGTAGCTTAGTAAGAGTCAAATTGAAAGCCGCCACATCGCCCAAGGCGGGGTCGGGGTGTGGCAAGCACATACCTGTTGTTCTCAATTTTATCCAGATTGTCCCTGATTTTCTCGTTCATCGCATTCTTCTCATGTGACAGACGCTGCCATTCGCTCTTCATGATCCGCATGTCGTTCTCCATTAGCCGCTTCCGTGCGACGATGTCTCGTGTGCCCAGGTTTAGAATCTCCTCGTCAAGAACTTCCTCCTCAGGCTGAGCGTCTTGCATTTCGGCATCTCCATCCTTCTTCTGTTCATCCTTCTTCTCATCCTTCTTCTTGTCATCCTTCCTCTCCTCCTTCTGCTCGCGCTCGATGTCGTCGAGGTCCTCCAGCGTCGACATGGTGGCAAGGGTTGTATGAGAGTGAGGTGATTGGTTACAAGTCCGGAGTCGAAGTAGTAGCGATGAGTTTCGTCGAAAGTATTTGCCGGGGATATAGGTTACGGGTGAGAGGCGGGGAGATGAGGTAGTGAAGCTGTTTGGAGGCAGCTTTGGATTACGAACATGTAATGTAGCTAGCTTGTCGGGATTTAGCGACCGCCGACGTCTTGGCGCTTCTGGTGGCTACTATGACCCTGCCATTGGCCATCCAGCTGTTGACCATTCCCCGAGCGCTGAAACAGATCACGTTGTTCGACTGTGGCAGAAAGCCTCAGTTTTGAATGCAGTTGCTATGAGGATATTTACTGCAAGTTTAGGCACCGGATATACTTGGATATGTGATTCGAGTCGCGAGTTGGCATCTAGAGCGGACGCCGCATCACGTGATAAGCTGCTCATCGATTGCACCCGTGGACCCATGGACATGTCCAGGTGTCATCGTTTAACTCCAGAGGTCCTTACATCGGCTCTGAATTGATCCTATTTAAGAGATTTTAGAGGCATGCGAACCGGGGAACCGAGCTTTTCTAGTACATGCACTTCCGACTATTGGGCCTGCCGATTTGTGGGGAACGAGACTGACGACCGAGCTCGATCCCTTTTACTTTTTCCTACGTTCTTATGTGACTTAACGGTCACTTTCACCATACAAGTCAAACAAACCGACGGCCTCGTGGCCTAATGGTAAGGCGCTACTTTCCGGTTTCTAAACTGGAGTCTGGTAGAGATTGCAGGTTCGAGTCCTGCCGTGGTCGATTTCTTTTTTGGCGTTGGAATCATTCGCATGTAATTTTTTTCGGCGCGGAAGGCCATTCGACAGACAGGTTTATCATACGTAAGAGCGCTAGTCTGATTATCTGATTGGTATTTTAGTACCGTAAAAACGCTCTTGGCCGCAGGAAATACCGAAATGTTATTGGACAGAGCTGTCACTTTGAGGATAGCTAAACGTCTCTCAGTAGTTCAGTAGTTGCTAGTAATTTGATAGCTAATCAAAACTAATAGCCACGAGTGTTGGCGTGGTCCTTATAATCCAGTTTCTACGGCGCTGTAAAATACCAATCAGATAACCAGACTATTTAGCTATATTAACGACCCCGCTTCGAGCTTTGTGACCGCGAAGAAGACCTACCGTTTACTACGCGCCAACGATCTGGCCAAAAATCATCAGATTACCCTTGCATGAGTTTGTTTAGTTAAACAAGATCTCAACTATCTCTCTCGGCCACTTGAAAGCCAGTAATGGCTACGAGAGTCCTGAACTATGTACGGCGAGGGATGTACTGCCGGTAAGCCATAAGCTTCTGGCACACATAAATCTGGTCTATCAGTACTAATCATTGAATCGTTTTAGTCAAAATGTGCCTCTTCTTTGCGCATCGAAACTAGTTCATTCGTGTGGATCCAATAATTACGCACCTATCCGCAATGTTCGTTCGTACATACATATGCCTAAAAGAGCCCCGAGTCTACCGGAAATTGGTTTGAAGACCAATGTCAACAAAGTCACTGCCGGCACGAAGGAAATGTCAGTATTCATAAATCAAGCTACTTCCTCGTGGCATTTGTTTACTAATGTTTGTTGTTAGACCGAACATATGGCTCAGGTACGCTGCTTAGAAGCGCATATAGGAGAACTACCATCTGATCTATCCAGGGACAATTGCCAATGTACAGCCTGTGTCCATGATGATACCAAACAACGTCTGCTGGACACATTTTCGGTGAGATTCGAACATACGTGTGGGCAGAAAGCGACTTACTGATACTTATCAGATACCCAAGAATATTGCCATTAGCAATTGCTCGGAAACCGAGGAAGCAATCAACATCCAATGTCAGCTTTTGCTCCTTTTAGATCAATGTCACAGAGACTGACACTATCAAGGGAGCGACGGCCATGAGAGTCAATACTCAAAGGAGTTCCTGGAGGATGCGGCCAACACCTTTGAAGAACGCGCCATCGTACGTCAAGGCATCACAAAGTATGCTATGTTCTCTATCTAGTTTCATCTGCATAGAAACTAATGACCAAATAACCAGCCTGGAACTCTGGGGGTCCGAGATTGTCGAAAACCCTCCTCGCGTTAGATACTCTGAAACTGGGGACACGCAAAGCCTGGTCACAGACCTGCTCACTCGCATCCGTAAATTCGGTTTCTGCTACGTACTCGACGCTCCCGCCACACCAGAAGCCACCGAGCAGATCCTGCGCAGCATCGCCTTCATTCGCGAGACCCACTACGGAGGTTTCTACGACTTTACAGCTGATCTTGCTTCTAAAGATACGGCATACACGAATATAGCTCTCGAGGCGCACACGGATACGACATACTTCTCCGACCCGGCCGGTCTACAAGCTTTCCATTTACTTGAGCATAGCGGTGGGGAGGGTGGCGCGAGTCTGTTGGTCGATGGCTTCAAAGTGGCTGCAGACCTCCTGGCTGAAGATCCCGAGGCTTATGGGATTCTGGCTTCAACGAACGTGCATTCTCATGCGTCTGGAAACGAAGGAATTTATATTCAACCGTATCGTGGATTCCCTGTTTTTCAGCATGATCCCGCGACCGGTATTCCTCTGCAGGTGAGATGGAATTCGTCGGACCGTGCGGGGGTCGAATTGCCTATTGATCAGGTGGAGGGCTGGTATGATGCAGCTCGGAAATGGGACGCGCTCTTGAAACAGGAGGAGAATGAGTATTGGGCAAAACTTGAACCAGGAAAGATCTTGGTGTTTGATAACTGGAGAGTGTTGCATGGCAGGAGTGCGTTCACCGGTAAACGGAGGATCTGTGGGGGTTACATCAATCGCGATGATTGGATATCGAGATTCAAGGTGGGGTACTTTGGTAAAGACCGTATTCTGGAGAGGCTGGCGACTGGTTGATAGAAACAATTACTGGCGGTGTACACAGCGCTTAGTGGTAAACCAAAGAAAAAGTATGTTGGTACATTTGTCTGAGCATAGTCGCTTATATACACCTCTCTAGACCTGAACAAAGAAATCCATTTCATTTTATCCTGTGCATACTCTCTTATTTGTTGTTTTTCTCTGCCTCCAGCTCCAACTCGGCTTGCCGATAGTACTTCGCCGTGTCCACACCGTGGTAGGGATGGTTCACGAAGTTGGGAAACAAAACAACGTGGGAGAATGTAGATGCATATCGCGTTTGCCTGTGGGCAACACCTTGCATGTACTCACTCAATTCGGAAACGCCATAGAGAGGCTCGCCCTTCTTGACTTTATCGACCATTTCCCGCATGTCCATATCCACTTCGCGGCGGTTTTCGCGCGCACCGTAGAAGCGTGCTACAGGATTACATTAGTACCAAAGGCATGTTCCAGGCTGGGGGAATAGTTGCGGGCGCTCGTACAGCATGATCTTGAGTAGACAAAGATGAAGGCACCCGAGAGGCCGATAACGCCTGAGAAACGCATAACGGGGGCAAAACCACCCTTTCCAACAAAGGAGGGCGACACCTTCTCCCAGTACATCATCAATGCAGGGCTGATGGCTCCAACACCAGCACCAGTGAGCCAATCAGAAGGGCGAGCATAGCGTATAACGCGAGAAATGTGCCTTTAGCCATCGTTAGTACTCGCATGCGGCGGAAGAGCGGTGGTAGTGCGTACGGATCATTGTCGATGAGCTGGTGAAAGTTAGCCAAGCTGCACTTGTACATGAGGATTCCAATGCCAATTGCATACAGGATACTCTCCAGTGGGCTTTTTGTCCGCAATAAGAGGCACCGAAGGCCTTTCCTGGGTGGATTCAGACATGGCGTCGTGGTGAGGGGCGTCTTGCTATCGTCAATGGGTGCGCTGGGTAACGGAACGACGTGAGGTTGAAGGTGGGTCCAAGCTTTGTGGAGCTAGCAACTTTCTGGCTTGGCGCTCTCTGTTGTTGCTCTCTGACTTAAGATGCGACAACAGTTGAGTGCGCCTGCCACTCGCTGCGCCGCCTACACTTCGCACGCCGGATTCCAGAAAAGAGGGGTTGGACATGGAGGACCGTACGGTTTCTCGAGCCGACGGCGCTCAGAGCGCAGGAGACGCGCACGCGACCCATGCATTGAGCATACACACCCGTCCGACCGTGACCGACTTACACGGAGAGAACCATTTCGCACAAGTTGCAAGAAACAACTGGCTAGGAGAGAACCAGGCGCAAAAGGCTCGCCCAGAAGTGATCAAAAAAGAGCTGTGGGACGAGTTGGAAAAGATTGATTTTGCATACCCGTCTCTGCTCGTGTTGGAGAATCTGCAGCTGCTCGAGAGATACCTATGGCCTACATTCACCGAAGATGCATCCAATTACCACCACTTACTACTGGCTCTTATGATCAATGTCAAAAGGAGGGAGAACCTTCCGTCGTGGGGTGAGTGCTCTCACTAAGATCTTCCTGGTAACGCGCTGACAATTACCGTAGAACATTTCGCGACCAAACCCTCTGAATTTTCTGCCTTCTTCCGCCGCATCCTTTCCATGAGTATAGACTCGTCGCAGCCTGTTAAAATCCGAACCCAGCTTGTTTCTTTCGTCATCGGCGCATTTCAATCCTTGGACAGCGGGTTGGTGCGCAAGGAGTGCGCTCCGTTGGTGGGGATATCAATATGGCACAATTTACATTCTGAAACAGTGCGAGAAGAGAATTTCGAGAACCATCCAATGCTGAAAAAGGCTTGGAGAGCGGCACACAAACGTTTCGATGCCGGAGACGAGGTGCTCCAAGCCCGGTTACGATTTGAGCGGTCATGGTTATATACACTGTTGTCTGACTTTATCAATGTTCTCTACAACGTCAACTCGCGACAGGAGATGCAGGACAACCTGGTTTACTGCGAACGATTTGTAGAATTCCTCACCGATCTACAAAGCCAACTGCCGACAAGGAGATACGTCAACACGCTACTGCGCGATCTCAATATTTTACCAGCCATCAGCCTATCACCGATGTATACAGATGAGAGCAATGGACTATTCAGGGACTTGGTCGTTCTTCTCAGCCACTTCACCTATTTTCCAATCGAGGATCAAACTGGAAAGCAACTTTCCAAGCTTGAATACGACCAGGAACATTATGACGTGCTTGCGAAGCTGCAGAGAGTCGGGTATGCGAGCTTTGAGGAGAAATTGCAGCTCCTGGCTCTAGCCAACTATGGCAGTATAGGGAAAAGAAATGAATTGGAGAACCACATCCGAACTTTGGACGATCAAGAGCTAGCCCAACTGTGCTCTTTGATGGGGTTGAGGACTCAGTACCCCCAGTCTTCATTTCTGGTTCAGGATCGATCCTTTCATACTGAAGTGTTATTTGCGCTGGTTGAATATAAACCCATTTTCAAGGACGTAGTGCGCGAGATGGCTATTCTACCCACGGAGAAGATATTGTATGAGACCACGTTCCTCCGCAATGAGTCCTACAACGGATCGCGGCCATTGGCGATACCGAAACTCAATCTCCAATACCTAACCATGGGAGACTTTTTATGGAGATCTTTCGTTCTTTATCGAGCTGAGTCGCTTTATGGTATTCGCAAAGATATGGAAGATGTTGCAAAGAGGGTTCAGCCCCGTGGAAAAGGTGCCAGTACTGTGTTCAAGGGGTTTTCACGCATGTCCATACCCATATCAAATCCAGGTATTGTGGATGTGGCTCCGTCCTTAGTCGGCGAAGAGCATCCGGCATATGTTCGTGCAGAAATCATCCTGGATGTTAGTAGACTTCAGTACCCAGTGCGGCGGGAGTGGGA